TTTGTTAAATCAAACTCATTGGCAGGCAGGAGGTGTGTGTGCGCGTGTGTGTGTGCGTGTGTGTGGTTGCAGAGTTATTTTAAGCGGCTCTCGGATATGAATATGCATGTCAGACTCTCTGTCTGCGACTGCTTCAGAATGAATGGAGCCGATCCCGAAATATCCAGCCGCGCTGCAAACGCGGGGAGTTTGTGTCGGCCGCGTGAGTGTGCAGAGACACTCTCAGGTTACTAACTGGTGACTGAGCGCCTGCGTGCGCGTTTCAGTCTCGTCAGCCCGGTCGCGCGGCTGCAGATCCCGAGGTAACATGCGCTTGAATTTTCAGCTCGCGGGGTAACCTCTTGTGCGTCCAATCCGCGTCTTTCCAAACGCTCGTTATTAAATTATCCCCTAATTGGTCACGCGACAAAGGCAGCTGATGAAAAAGACAATTTCTTGCTTTTAATTGGGCATTTCACGTGCGCTACGCGTACACCTGTGTGCAGCCGGCTCGACTCGGGGATGCACGTGCGTCTCCGCGCGCGTAATCAGAATGGGACATTAGCGGGGGCTTGGCAGACGCCGTCGCAATCAGTTCCGATCTTCCCAGTGAAGGAGGGAGAAAAGGTTGGAGGATTAATGTTACATTAGAAATGTTTGGAGACTTGCAAGTGGCCACGTGACTCTTGAACTTTGGCACGTTGTGTCACACCTCAGCCTCGCGCTTCAGTGTATTTTATCAGAGTAAGGCATCATTGTGAAGTGGAATAGAAATTATTCAGAGTTTAAAGATTAATACCACGGCTGTCATTCATGTAAGTGGCAGCCAAAGACCTGAAAAGTGTGGCATGTATATGTTGTTCAACCCCTTTTGCTCTGATACTAATAAAAAAAAGCATTCCAAACCCACCTGATTTGTCTAAACCGATGTAGGAGAGAAGAAAATGAAAAAAGGCAGAGATGAAACTTTCAGTGTCCTAAGCACGGGGGTGGCAGCGTCATGCTGTGTGGAAGGCAGCAGCTCATTGGCTCTGGTTCTGGCGACAGCATCTGGCTGGCATGTTTTTGGATCCACTGTTCTGTCGGTTCATTCGTATGTCAAACACATGCGCCCTTGGTTGGACTCCAACTCCTGACCTCTGACGGCGTTCAGAGTGTGATGGATTCCCCGACCTGCGTAAGTCGTCTTCCCTCTTCCGTGTTTTTTTTATTTTATTTTTTAACCCAACTTTATGCGTACCACCAGCGGCGGCGTGTCACGCCAAAATAGCCCGGCCATTGTCGGCGGGCCGGATAGCGAAGCTCATTGTGTTGGGTGGGAGGCCGGGGAGGGAGCAGGCCATAAACACCGGCCCTATCGCACCCGGGGGGGTCGCGCGGGGGGGTCGCGCGAAGGTGAAGCCTCACTCTGGTTTTCTTTACTCTCTCCCTTCCTCTTCTTCGCTCCCCATCACTCTTTCTTCTTCTCCGGTCTTTCTCTGCGTCAGCTTATTAACGGGCACAGCAAGAGTGTCTAGTTTGCAGAGCCCCTTGCTTTTTCTTTTTTTCACCCCCTCAGACGCTCTCACTCCTCCTATTCTCTTCCTCTCCATCTCTCCATTCCCTCGGCTGCTATTATGAGAGGCATTTTATCCTTTGTTCCAGGCCCCATGGTGCATCTGGCCGCAGATACGGGGGACGACGGGGACAGGAAGCCGGCATGGGTTTCTGAGAGGCGGAGGGAGTGTGCAGGGTCAGACTGTAGATTCGTTGCTAAGTTGGGTTGCCATTTTCCACCGTAAAGGACGATAAGCAAGAGCCAGCTGGAGGAGGAAGCAGATACAGATAGGCTTGCTCAAGAGCTGCGAGCCCAACGCAGTAAAATGTTTGATTCTTCGAACTGACGTCGGGTTTCGAGCCGATTGCCTAACTTCCCACACAAGACATGGAGAGGCAGAAAACGAAAGGGCAAAGCAGAGCGAGAACAGATGCAAGGAGACATTAGGGAACGTCCAGAAGAAGAAGAGGTCAATCCTTAGCCAGCGCTGGCCTCAGGATGACCTCGTCCCTTCTGCGAAGAGTTTGAAGTGCAGAGGAGAGGAGAGTTAAAGGAATGCTCAGGCCTCCCTCAACCCTCTTTGCCCTCGCTCCTCCTCCTCCGCCTTCCATATCTCCCCCCCCCAGCAAAAACAGGGTAACGGTTGGGAGGGGGGGGGCAAGAGAGGGAGAGCATTGGTGATAAAACTCCAGACGTTCCCTCATTTGATGGTGCTCTGCCATGTCAGTGCATTCTTTCATTCCTCCCCTTTCTCTTTAGATTTCCTTCTCCTCTCTCCTTTGAAATTTCATATCAGCCTTAATGTAGCAAATATAGAAGGGAAACTTCTACCAGCTCCACTTCCAACTGTGTTGGGTTCTTTTTGCTTCTTTTCACAAGAAGTGTTTCTGAAGCAGCTTAAACACGGCAAAAGACACAAAAGTCTGTTTCTGGCCTCGTTTCTGGTGTAAATATCTCAGTGCACTTCAAATAAGACAAAACTAACTTACAAGTGGCTTTTCAGCAAGAAATAGGAGCTTGGTTTTAGTAAATCATTTCATAATATTGATGAAAAAGTAATGACAGGTTATTTCACTTCTATCAAGACATTTTTCCCATCTTGTAAGTGAAACGATCTGCAAGACGAACTGACACTTTTTCATCAATATCCAGGAATTGTTGACTTAAAACAGGCTCTAAATCTTCCTCAAAAGTGACATGTGAGCTCTATGTGTCTTATTTAAAGGAGACTATGACATTTGTATTAGAAATCAGACCAAAAATACTTGGCAAGAGTTTGTGTTTTTGCATTGAAGGACATAACAGTTGTAAAGAAAATACCAGCAAACAATAAGGCTGTTAATCTTTCTTTTTACTGGCCAGCTTTGCCATCCTCTGGCTCCCCAATTCCCTGCAGGTCCGTCTTCAAACCATAAAACCAAGGAGGAGCACAAAAGCACTTCTGATGAGGGAATATTAAAGAAATTTAAAGCAAGGGAGTTCCCCTCACTCTTCGGGGTCCAAACAGATGCGGCATGTTTGCGTCTCTTTGTCTCTCTCCTCCCCTTCTCGCCCATACCCTGAGCTCATAAACGTTTCATTTTCCAGCTTTTGAAAAAGTCTCCCACTACCATTGTTCCCCCCCCTTAAGTTCGGGTTAATGCCCCCCAACCCCCCTTTCAGAGATGAAACAGAAGTGTCCGGTCGGGCAACAGCAGGAACACATAAATCAAGTCAGAAGCCCCCCGACAGTCCTCTCTCCTTGGGGTCATTGCAGGCCAAGGGGTCATTTCAGAAGGGGTTAGGCTGACCGAGGCCAGATCGGTTCCTATGTGAACATGCACAATTAATAGGTGTGAATACATGTAGGAGAGGCACTAAGTTTGTGTTGATAAGAGTCTGTTTTAAAAGAGAGTTTGCGTTTGTGTTGCCACGTTGGGGTGTTTTCCAGTGAAATGACGTTTTCTGAAGGCCAGTAAGACTAAAGTGACCAAATCCCAGTTCCAGTGTGTCACAATGTTGTCTTTGAATATAGACAGTAAACATAGCGCCTTGTTAAGATGAGAAATGATCTGTTCTTTAGTTATACTAAGGCCTGTCGCAATAAGCAATTAATCAATTAATCATATAAATTGAAAATGAGCTCAATAATTTCTATAATATTCTATTTCTAGGATTTATCATTTTTGTCTTTTCTCTCCCTTTTTGCCCAAAACTGGATGCTGAAAGTCTTCAGACTGGTGATTTGGTCTCAACTAGCCATTTTTTTTTTTTTTGAAGGGCAACTTTTTTTTTTTTATAGAAATTTCACTCTTCATTTTATTTGTTGTATTATTTTGGATATTTAAAATGTCTTCCAGTTCCATCGTCAATTGATCTTTGAGACTGTCTTCTTGCACTCTTCTGCAATTACTATTACGTTACTTGGAAATGCTCTCACCACAACAATATTATCATTTATCGCAATAATGCCTGGGACAATTTATCACCCAGCAAAATGTATTTCTATCTTAGCAAGCCCAGTTATGTCTTCAAGACTTATTCTGATACAACAACCTACCTTCTTTAAAAGCAGTAGTCCTCACAGGCAGCAAAAGCCCAACCAGATTCCCAGGGTTAAGGGTTAGAGGTAAGGTGTGAAAGAGTTGAGTTATGTACTGTCAATGGCTAAGTTCAGGGCGATGTTGGTGCTTGGCACTAATGGAGTAACAGAAACAATGAACAGAATTCAAGACCGTGTCCTATTAAGGATAGAAATACCAATGGTTTGACTGCAGTTTTACAGGAGGTCACGAAGGGGTCAGTGCACAAAAACTGCACAGACTAAAAGAAGTAACACGCGGTCACCTGTCGCTGGAAAAAAAAACAATGCCTCTCACCAGAGGCGACGTGCCACGCGTCTCCGTCAGCAACACCCCGCCGCGTTCGAGGCCGAGCGCGTTAAACCGTCAGCAACCGCAGCCCGTCGGGAGGCGGAACGCCTCGGATGAAAAGAGATGGGTCGCGATGTTTTCCAGACGGGCGCAGAGAGAAGATCCTGCCTCCACAAAGACCCCAGTGTTCAGGCTGACTCTTGATTTTTTTTTTTTTTTTTTTTTTGAGGGGGGTGAAGGGGGTTTAGGCAGGTTTCCACAAGTTCTGCAGTCCCTGACTGTTCAAAGACAACTATTTTAATAACTGAGGCAGTTAAGATGCGACTTTCGCTGTTGCGCTGCAGCAGCTTTACCGGGGCTCAGCGTCGCTTATGGGAGAATAATTACTCCTTATCACTGTTATGGTTTGCTAAAGAGAAAAAGGCGACTTTGGAAATGTGGTGGTTTTTGTGCTGCCTGCCAAGATCTTCAGGGTATTAGTCAGCATTTTTTTCCCCCCCTTAATCTTGTTTTGAGTAAAGCTCTGACTGTGTTTCTGTGTTTTTGTCTCCTCTCCTTCCTTTTCTCTCCTCCTCCCCCTTGCGATCCTCCCCTCCGTCCCTCCCTCACCCCCGCTCTCTCTCTCTCTGCAGGTTCATTAATGCGCGGAGGAGAATAGTGCAGCCCATGATCGACCAGTCGAACCGTGCAGGCAAGTCTCCTATAGTTACTGTTTTCAAGTCGCGCAGGCTTAAGCCAGCCCGAGTCCATGCACCCGGAGGCCTCTCAGTGGGTAAATACGGGACTGATGCGCCCTTCTTGGAATGTCCAAACCCTTCAGGGAATTCCCCCCTTCCCTCTGTACTGACCAATAAAGTTAAAAGGCGAAATATCTCAACATTAACAGCAATCGTTAATCAACCTTGACGTGCCATGTGGAGTGAAAAAGTAAAGTATTCACCTCTTTGCCAATTCGTAACCCTACTTTGTGCCCACATGTTGGCCTTTCCTACAATTTACCAACAATTTGGACAAGTCCTGACGTCAGATTTACCCATGGATGACAAACTAGGTACAAATTGAGACATGGTCTGCACGAAGCGTTCCTACGGCGGCTTTCAATTGATTTGTGGTCAGTAAAAACATCTCCAAGATGGGTTCAAAATCCAACCATTGGAGACAAGCAAAGCTGCTAAAGTATGAAATGGCAAAGCATTGAAACGACCGGCTCTCGTTAATGATGAGAGACTTTTTTCCCCCCCTTGTTATCCTGCTCACAAAGCTAGCTGTGTTCTCAGAATAGTTTGTCCTTAACCCCTTCCTGCCCCTTTTCACCAAACAGGTACATAGTAAAACAAGAAAAAACAAAAACAAATCCTCCACATAGGTCTCTCTACGCCCATAGAGAGACCTACGCCCGTTTCTTTTTTTGGTTTGACCGCTGATTGGCTTTTTTGGCTCTGGACCTGTTTTCACCCCCCACCCCTTGCACCCCGCAACTCCCATTCCCTTTAAACACCCTCCCTCAACCCTATTTGCGGCTGTTTTAGGGAGCAAGGGGGGAAGGAGTGAGCAGTCCCCCTGGTGCATGGCTTGGTTTTGGACTGCTGTAAACTTTATTACCTGTAATAGGGGTGAGAGGTCATGGTGGCATTAAGGGAGAGGGTAGGGTGGTTGGGGGGGCATAGTAAAGTTCAAAGGCATTCAGTGGGGCCGAGGTCCTGCTTTTGCTTGACTGGCCGCCAAACGGCCTAAATCGAAGGTAAGTGGCTTTCTATGGGAGCAGAACAATGGAGGGGTGCAGAAAATAAGGAACCGGATCGGGTTTCACATATTCCTGCCGCTCAGTTTTAGTCCGTATTTATAAGATAAAGTATTAAGATAGGAGCAGATTCTGGGACCAATCAGTAAGAATGAACTTTTGTTGAAAACCGGATCGGGCCTCAACCTGGATCTCATTTTTGCTCCTTTGATCGTATGCATAATTATGCATCAGGGGGCAGCAACGGTTTACGTTAAAAGCATTGCTGTATTACGTGCCAACATGTCTTTTATTAAATATATATTGGAGTGGCCGGACATGTCAAGCTTGAAATGAAATGACTGAAATGTTTTGGATTTACGAAATGAAATTTGAAATGTTCCCGCATGTGACATTTAGAATCTACCTGTTGGCTGCTGAAGCAGACAAATGAGATTACATTTAAATCTAGATTTGGGCAAAGAGTCTTGCCTTATAGACATTTACTAGCCTTTACGTAAGAATTCACTCTCCTTGAAACTTTTCTGTATTTTCTCTACTTATGGTCTCAAATTTGGTGATTGACATTGTACATAGTGAACTAACACAATGTAATGCCTAACAGAGAAACAGGAAGAACGGGATACATTGTTGTCGGGTTTCAAATGTGCCCCCCTTTCCTCTTATACCCCTAAATAAGATCAGGTGTAATAATTTGTCTTCAAAAGTCTCTTTATTACTAAATAAGAGTCCACATGTTTAACCCTTCGCTGTCATGATGACACTGGTTTTCTCGTTGACCCATTTGAGGTTTCCATTACAAATTCTCACTAATCTTTGTGATTTACCGCTAATGTGAAAAAACCCACACAACTTTACAATCTCAGTGTTTCCATGTATTAAGAAAGCAAATTAAAATCACAATACTCAAACACTATCGATTGTCATTTCAGCGTAAACAAAAAATAGTTTTCCTCAGTGCAGACAGGGAAGCCTGAATGCGATCTGGAAAACTGGCTGTCATTTTCTTTTCACTTCCCATCGATCCACCTCTTTGTGCTGGTCTTTCAAATAATTAAAATAAATACATTACATTTTTGGTGACAAGTATGACTTCTCGACTGTTTTCAGAGCTTATGAGCCCCACGGCAGAATCTTGAGGTCTTGACGTTTAGATTTAACGCGACGTAAGCTTCAAAATAAAATTTCAACAAGTCAATCCCTCAAACCAGAGTCAGTCCGTGTCTTAAATGTGCCATAGCGTAGATTAAGCTCTTATTCTGATCCCTATTAGAGCATTTATGTGCGTTAAAATCCACCAGGGGCTTTCAGCAGACAGCTAGCCGTCGCAGCGTGGAGCAGAGTGACGTTGAAAGGCAGCAGAGTCTTCCTGTGCGTGCACCAGCCAACAGATGATCCCGCACCGTCCGCTGAGCTTTAATTAAAAGGACTAATTGACCACTCTGCTCCTTCCTTCTCCCTCCCTCCCTCTTCTTCTCCTGCATCCACAGTAAGTCAAGGAGCTCCCTACAATCCAGATGGCCAGCCAATGGGTGGCTTCGTCATGGACGGCCAGCAGCACATGGGAATCAGACCACCTGGTATGGCTTTCTCTGCGTGTCTGTCCGTTTCCTCACTCTGTTGTTCCTCCTATCTGTCTTCAGTCTGTTCCTGCGGGTTTCTTTGGCTCGCTTCCACCCGTTTTCCGTCCAACATCGCCTCGCCCTCTTCAACCTTTGTGTCCTCCTTTGCGTTTCTTCAGACGTAGATGTTGTCCTTCAGCCAGTATCTGCCATGTTGATGTTTCATTTAATCTTCATGCTGACAGAAAAGCTCTTCTCGTGAACTTTTACAGTCGCCGCTTGTTGCTTTGGGTAGAAACGGCAGGATGTGCACTCCCAAAAACACTTAGAGAGACATGCACACACACACACACACACACACACACACACACACACACCGTTTCCTCCCCCTATTTCCTGGATACACCAGAACAGGTGTGCTCAATCACATTACACCACCATCCTCCTCCTCCTCACTCCCACTCCCCTTAAAACTCAGTCGCTCTCTCATGCCATCAGCTTTAATCCCAGAGTTTGTCCTTAAGCTCTTCTTCTCCTCCTCTATCCCCTGTTTTCTGCGATTCTCTCTCAAGTCTGCAACCCAATCTCAGCCTCCACTCGAAGTCAGCAGGTTTGGATAAACTGCCGGCCGACTTAACCACCCTGCACCCCACCTCCAAACATGTCCACACACACCTCTCCCAGCCAAATCCACAGGGCTTTGTTGCTTCGCTGCCTGTCAAATTAGCTTCATAGTGAAACCACACTGTTGCTGAGTGCGGTCTGCTTGGAACAATTTCCTCTTTGAAGTGATCAACAATAAATTCCTGCACAATCAGTTAGAGACGACACCTTTTTAATTTTCACGTTTCCTCTTTGTGTCCTTCCTCCAGGGCCGATGGGTGGAATGGGGATGAACATGGGCATGGAAGGTCAGTGGCACTACATGTAGCCCAACCCGAGTCTGACCAATCACAACGCAATGGGGGATGTAAGTAGAACAAACTGGTTTTAGACCGATGTGGTCCTTTTTCCGACACCCTTCAGGTACGAGTGGCATCCGTAAGGAGTTTCCACACCTGATCGTCCTGCAGACTTGGTTGGACTGGTGACCAAAGTTGCTGTTGCGTTCTCAGCTGCAGCGGCTCATTGCGTCAAACAAGCCAAACCGTTTGAAAAGCTAGGGAACCTAGCGGCACCGCACCAAGATCTGATGAAGGAAAAGATACAAAACCCTTTGACGATTCAGTCATTCTTCTCAGAATGTGAACTAAAATGGAGCAGCGCCAGATTTTAGTGTTCAGTTTACATTTTTCCCCATTGTACTCAAATCGGGGGTAGTTTATTCATTTATTTATTTTAAATTTAAGGCTGTGCTGCTGATAAAAAAATAAATGCATTGTGATTAGTATCATTTATAGACATGTTTATCAGAGCACCAAAAATCATATGGTTTTCAAATATGTGCTATGGGAGCAGAGGTGATGTCACACTGTGTGAGAGACGGTTGAAAAGAACCTCTGTAAAACAGGTGTTTGACATGAAAGAATATAAAAATGACTTTTGCTTTAAGATTATGTGTTAGCATTGTATGTTATCCGTTAGCACAGCTAGCAAGCAAGATTTCCAAAAAATTGCCGACGTTGCTTTTGCTTTTTTGCAGCCCATTTAGGATTTTTCGCACAAAACATACCTTCTTTTTAAACAGCTTCTTACACCTGTGTGCTTCCTTCCTACTTAACCTTCAGACACTTTCAGCAATACTGGAAACAATATACATCTGTGTTTGAATGTACCCACGTTCAAACCCGAAACTCGAAGCAACCGAAGTTGTTTTAGATGCAAACATCCTCCTGTTCTCCACCAGGCGGATTTGCACCGTTGCTCTTTCTTCAGCGTTCCCATCCTCGTTGCGACGATAGGAGCCTTTGATCCCATCCGTGTAAATTTTTGTGTACGTTCTGTGCCGCTGTGTGTCGCCGTCCGAGAGCCGCCAAACCAAACAGGGGAAGCAAAACAAAAAGAGAGAGAAGAACTACGGAGGCTTAAAGTAACACGGATTACTAATAAATAAAAAAAGTGTTCAAAATCGAGACAAAGTAACGGAAGAATGAACCGTTTGTACACTGATTTTGTGTGTGTGTGTGTTAGCATGTGGCGAGGAGGAGGAAGAGGAAAGGGGGCGGGGATGGGTCGGGACAGGAGATGGGCGGAGGAGGGCGGGAAGGGAGGGGGCAGGTAGAAGGTTACTATGGCAACAGACTGATTGGCAAAAATGTAAGCAGTCGTTGCTGGCGCAAGGAGAGCGAGAGAAGTGCGCGCCCCTTAAGTGTCATAAATCTGCCAGGTTGCTGTTGATGCATGAGCCGCATTAATACACACATGCTAACCAGCTACAGGGAGCCCAACACCACCACCACCACCACCACCAACACCACCACCCCTCACTGTCTTCCTCATCCTCGCTCCAACATTGTGCTTTTTCTCACTGTCAATTTTCCTCTCTCCATCTCTTCTTTCACACACCTTTTTTCGATTTTTTTTCTCCTTCTTCCTTCTCACTTCTCTCCCCTTTCTTCCCCTCGCCTCCTCTCCCTCTCTCTCTCTCTCTGTCTCTCACTCCTTCCCTCACTCTTGCCCCAGGGCAAAACAGACTCCCACATAATTCTAGATGTATACAGGCTGTGGATGGTGTCACAGCCGCGCATTGTGATAAAGTGGCGCCGGGTCCAATCTCAGCCGAACATCATTGTTTCCCCCCTTGCCGTCTGTGACACCGCACAACGTTTATAAGTGAAATAAATACATGCTGATGCGTGGGCGTCAGCCTGCGTACCTCCACGCTGGCCTGTATAGTGGTATATGTGTGTGTGTGCATGTGTGTGGGTGTGTGTGTGTGTGTGTGTGTGTGTGTGGTAATAGGATTACTCCTGGCACAGAGAGGGGACACAAACTACTGCAAAATGGAGGAGGTAGCCAGCAGGGTATGGAGCTTAGCCGGGCCTAATTGACTAGATCCAAATTAAATATGCCGTCACCGGAGGTGTGACCAATGGATTTGACTTATTCAGTTTACAAAAATAGGGACCATTAACCCTCTGCACAAGGCTCATACGCTGTAGTGGGAAAAAAATATAAATATATATATATATATATATATATATTCTGCCTCGAATGATGGCGACAACAGAAGACCGGCGGTCTCATCTCACGGGGGACGCAGGAAGTGTAAGGTAGAAGAAGAAGAAGAAGCTGAACATGTTTTTTTTTTTTGGTTTTGTTTTGTCCGCGTCGCCGCCGCCGTGTGAAGTGAGTAAACACGAGGGCCGGTTCTTTCCAAGCAGCTGCTCGCCTTCCCAGCAGACCGCGCTTTAAACAGCCTCAATTTGCCTGCTGAATCCCGTAATTGGGCCACCAGAGGAATCCTGGGTGAGACGGGGCGAAGCGCAGAAAAGACGGGAAGAGGAGGGAGGGAGAGAGAGAAAGAGAGAGAGAGTGAGAGAGACGGCGAGGTAGACTGAAAGAAGACGGGAGGGGCAGATGAGGAGAAAGAGAGAGAGAGAGAGAGGGAGGAGAGGAGCCGAGAGACGGATGATGACAGAAAAAAAAAAGAAGTCTCGTCTCCGCAAACTCGTCTTTCCCCCCTTACAGCTTCATCAGCTCCGTCGAATTTTCTTCCTTTTTTTTTTTCTAGGTCATTTAAAAGTAAGCGACGTGTTCTACTCTTTCACGACCAATTAAATTAATAGGTTATTACGTGAGGGAGGAGTGGGGACCGTTATCTTATTTGATTAAGAGAGCACAGGTTCATTATATTTTATAAGCAATTTTCATTAGCGGCGTTTGAGGTTTTTGTTACTGCAGGGGCCAAATTGAGCGCGTTCTAGCGCCGAGCCTGGGCTGCAGAAGGTGTGCCTGGCAGTCGCACCGCAACATTAGTTAAAACCAAAGCCAATTAGTCCTGCTTAGTGGAGAGCGTTATGCCTTCCACCCAGTGATGATTACGGCGCTTATGTCCCCCTGCGAAACAATACACCTGTCAGCAGACATGAAGCCCAGCAAGTCGAGCAGAAGCGAGCCGAGCCTTTGATTGCGACGGGATTGACTCTCAGATGACCTTTACCCCGTTTCCCCTTCTTCCTTCCCTCCTTTCCTTCTCTGTCTCTTTGCTTTCCTTCTCACACAAAATTAGCCATGTGTGCCTTCCTCCAACGCCCCCCCAAACCCCTTGCAAAACTGTAATTTTGGGCTTCAGGAGAATTATCACAGAGTGGAAGAATTAATTATGACGCAGAGAGTATGGAATTTGTTTCTCGGCTCTCGCCCATTAGGAGCTTTCCCCCCCCAAATCGTCAACGCTTGAATGAACGGATGCTTTCTCCGCCGGTCTCGGCTGGAGACCCTTTGTCCCAGAATTCATCGGCGAAATCATTAAGCGCAAATTTGTTAATCTTCCGCCGACGGGAAGGGGTCAAGATCCCCTCCCCAAAGCCTCCAACCATCACACAAAACTTCCCTTTTTCTTTCCGCGGAGGAACCTTGACTGTTGAGCAACTCGAAGGAAAAGAAGGAAAAAGCAGCAAACAAAAAACAAAAAGGAGAATCGGGTCCCCATGGAGTTTGCGTGGCCCCTTGTATTGTCCATGTGAATGTGTGTCCCTGTCGATTCGAACCCTTAGCTCACCCCCCCACCCCCATTCAGAGTCGAGGAAATGAGACTTACAGCTCAATGTATTGATTTGCTTATTAGGTGAAAAACCCCATAAGCAACGTTGAGCTCTTCCAAGCACTCATAGCATTATTGGCCTCTTGACATGAGTTTACCGCAGTAATCACTGCAGTCTTGTTAACCTGAGGTGAAAAATGAAAAAAAAAGAAAAAAATGCAGGAAAGACACACGACTTCGCCAGCAGTGCCATGGTCTGTTAGAGTTCACCTGTGAAGGTTTTGAGAAATCTGACTCAGTTTTACTGACTGGAAATCCTGAATTTTAGGATCGAAGACGGAATCAATCCAAGCATTTCTGCAGACATGGAAATAAAACAAAACTTTGTGACAAGTAACTTTTCAGCAAGATTGTGCAAGCTTGTTTTAAGTTAATACTTCCTTAATATTGGCCAAAAGTACTAGCTCCACTGGCAGATTATTTTACGCTTAATGGCATTTTCCCCTTCTACCAATGGAGCGAGTACTTTTTCATCAAAATTAAGAAATTATTGACTTAAAACAAACGCTTATATCTTGCTGAAAAGTTACATGCAAGTAAGGCTGATGGAAAATTTGAACTGAATGAAGACTAATAGCAAATAAAGAACTTGTTAGATTCTGCAGTTGATTGGCTGATCTCCAAGCATATTGACTTGTTTGAGATCAACACTAAAATAATTTCTGACAGGAATTGGGAATTGATGTTTATCTGGACTCGTCGTGCAATGACACTGAACTCGAGCTCCTTTTGCAAAAAAGGATTTGGACCACATGCCGGCAGAGCCATGCCGGCAGAGCCAAGAACCAGAAGACTTACATCATGGTAAAAGTGTGTCATTACACAAGCAAAAATTGAAATTAAAAAAATTTTAACTGTAAATTTTTTATTCCATATCTCAACTTCCCTTTGCTTTGTATGTTCTCATTAAAAAGTCCTAAATTTGGTGCCTGTCACACAGAAAATAACAACTAGAACCCATTAGAAACATAAGTAGCTAGAGCTAAGCTAGCACAATATGTCACACTTGTCTTAAACACGCCACACTTTTCCTACTTTGTTAAAAACTGATGGATGAGAGGAGACAGGAAACTATTATTGTTCTCGTGCTCCTTATCCTTTTCCTTTTGCGCCTTTGTCTCGTCTGTGTCTACGTATGTGTGAATGGGTGTGCGCGCGTGTGTGTGTGTGTCGCGTTCGCGTGCACGGCGCTCTCAGGTGACAGCCGTCTGCGGCTCTCGCCTCTCGCTCTTTGGCTTTGACGACATCGTCGGTCACGTGCGGTCGCCGGTCACTCCCCGCCTGCTGACAGACGAATGAGCGCCTTTGTCGCTGCCGAGAGACAGACTTCTTCTTCACCCTCCGCAAAGTTGCCGAGGAAGTTTGCAGTCAAGCTGCACCGGTTCGAGGTCGTTTCGGATCGCTTTCCGGGCCCGGCTCATGAGAGTCTGTCTCAGTTGCTGACTAGTCTCTCTTTGGAGAGAATTCCTCGGGCTAATTCCGAGTTACCTCGTAGTCCAGTTCAACAGATTATCCAGGAAATGTTATGCACTCACCCTTGGTATCGCTTCAAGCTGATCATGTGTGTTTGGCCTCTAAGTCCTTTCCTCCTGTTAAAGTAGCATTACTGTTGTGTAGGATTAACTCAGTATATCCTTCAAAACCCTCTGTGTCTGTCTCATGCATCGGCACAGTATGTGGATTCCTGCTGCGGTTCTGACCCAGAGTAACATGGTTCCGTTCGCACAACCTACTGTGACCTGTGTCTGATATTTTTTGGCCAAATGCAACTTTTCCACCCAAAACAATCTGATCTGAGCCGCTTCCATATGTGGTACTAATTTGGATAAGTCTCAACTGTCTTGTTGCATTTTATCCTCCTTTTATGTCACTGATGGGAGACATATATATGTGTGCCAGGAAAAGCCGTATGCTTTAAATCCGGATGTAAACGATGGCTGAAAATAATGATTATGAACTCATGAAACAAGTCTTTGCCGCTGAAGCTCATCACATCACAATCCCACCATTCATAGTTCCGACTTCGCATGGAGTCATGGAGTACTGCAGACTTTGTGACGTTTTTCACATTTTGCCATGCCACAACAGAAAATAAATGTATTTCATCCTGATTTAGCTTTGTGCCTGCTCCCCTTTACTCTAATACCCCTTAAAAAAATTCCCCACCTCCAGTTTGTCACAACCCAAGCATCAGACGCAGTGACCATGTGGAAGCAGGGACTTTGGTTGAGTAATAACTTTTTGATGTAAACCCAAAATGCCATTTGCACACAAACCTGAACGCCTTCCCATACCTCCTGTCATTTGCAGTGCCGTCTAATCTGGCCAGTTTAAAACAGATTATTGAGTATTGATCGGTTGAATATTCTCTCTCCTCAGAGCTGGAGGGGAATCGTGTGTCTCCCAGAGGCCCGTGGAGCTCAGGAACGGCACACCTCGACTTCCCGACGCCAGAAACCAACGAAAACAAGACTCCGGATTCAGCGACCGTTTCATCCAGTCGACGCCCGTCACCCGGACGTCTTCCATGGCTGCCTCCAATCTTTCCACCGGAATCGAACTGATGCTGCGCTGATCAAATTTCGGCCAAGTACAGGAGGATCTGACTCCTGAAAGAATGCCGCTTCTTCTTCTACTTCTTCTTTTTCTTCTTCTTGTTCTCTGGTTGGCACAAGACTTCAGTCCCTTTGCTGCTGCCCAGTCGCCCCACGCAGATTCCTCCATCGAAGTGATTGTGATTGACTCTTTTCGGGCGATTTGCCTGCACCTCTGGCGAATGTGCTGCCCGGTTGATCTATTCTCGATTCTTTTGAGGGCAAATGTTGAGACTTCTTTTTAAGAGGAGCGCTCTACTCTTTGGGACGGAGGATGTGGACCAAAGAGAAGCCAATGTCTGTAAAGGACAGGAGGAGGTGCCCTTTAAAAAAAAATAATAATAAAATGAAAAGATACAGTGGATTGAGACCTGGATGGAGAGATGGCGAGAGTGATGAAATTAAAAAGTGTAAAACTATATCAAGCCCTAGTTTGGGAAGTGAGTTGAGAAAGAAAATATACTGTATACTGTTGTAAAATTACGCTGGACTCTCACAAGAACTGGGAAACTAAGTATTGTAAATGCTATTGTATTGTTCTGCATATTATGTTGTTTCTAATAGATTTTTTAAAAAAGGATGTGAACTTTTTTCTCTTTTTTTCTGGTTTCTTTACAGATTCTCTTAATTGTGAGCGTGCGCATGTGTGTGTGTATGTGGGTGGGTGGGTGTGTGTGTGTGTGTGCGCGTGTTGGCATGCGCCGTCCCCAACAAATCTGCCCTCTTCAACCTCCAGCCCCATTGAACCACGTTGCGTTTTTATTTTGAGATCAAAGTAAAATCCCGGGTCTGCACTTTTTCACAACCTTTTTGTGGCGTATCAGAAAGGTCGGCGATCCAGGCGTTGGTTTTGCTCATTTTTATTTTTAAAAAAAACCTTTTTGCCACTCCTCAGGCTTTCTCGCGGACCTAGAAGATGCAGATGTTTCCATCAATTTGGCTGCACTTCTCTTGCCTCCAATCTATGCCACTTCTGCTGGTTTCGACCAGACGGACGAAGTTTTCCCCCACCGTCCCGTTTTCCACTGCTTTCATTTTGTACATGTGAAGGATGGGGAGATCCTCTTAGTGTCATCGTGGTGATGCACGCTAAGACATTCTTCACAGTTGATGGGGAAGCTGCAAGAATAACCCAGAAGACATGTTTTTTTGTCCACCTGTATCCAATTGAATGTCTTTTCCAGGGTCTTATTGGTGCGTTTGATGTCACTCGCTTTCGCGCACCCAATGGATTTTTCTCCCTCTCGTGATTTGTTGCAGATGTTTTGGGGAAACATTTATGCCACGGTCCACTCGTGTTTTTTTTTTTTGCTTTTATTTTTAACTAGCTTGGTTTAATGCTGGTCAACAGACAGGAGAGAATGTAAAAGCAACACTAAAAACTGCTGGGTTTAAAACAGCCCAGTCTGGGTTACTTTGCTAACCCGTTTCTGGGTCCAACATTAATCCATTCTAATGCACGCGTCTTCTTGCTTTCAATAAAAAAAAATGCCTTCGTGGAGACAAAATAATCATGTGTGTATTAAGCTGAAGTGCATTCCAGCATTTCTGGCTTGCTGATTTTTTTCTACTGGCTGTTTTGTGCTGAAAGTAAAAAAAAAAATTCTCGTACATAAAAGTCAGAAGCATCAAAACATCACTTACTATATATGAGACTATAACATGTAGTCTTAATAGTGCCTCTAAGTTCCTTATCTCTAAATATAAACCATCCATTCGGTTTACAACAAGGGTAAAGCTACTGAAGAAGGGATGAATAGAGTGACCAACTACCAGGAATGATAAAGACTTAATATTTAATCTAAAATGCATCATTTTTCAGTTCACTAAAATTCAGTGAAAATTTAATGTCAAAAAAGTTGCGATCTTTAGACATTTCACTGACAAACACTTGAATTTGGATGGGAAAAGTTACACTTAGTGTACTTTACGACCGATTGTTCAGTTGAAGTTTAAGTCTTGCTCTGGCTAGCGCTAGCTCCCTGGCATGTATAAGGCTCGTTTTGTTTTCTAGTGTGAACTAAAGTTCACAACACAATTATTGTTTTTACTCAGCAACATTTTAACCGTCTCGTTCCTCCCTTCATCCTGTTTGAGGAGGATTGTTGAAGTCCGGTCAGGTCGGTGTATTCAAAATGGCGACTGTTGAAGAACGACGAGGCTCCTTTTGGTCTCTTCACTCACCAAACTCTGCAGCTACGACTACCTAACATCTGTCCCAACAGCATAGGGCTAAAAGAAAAGCCCAGCAGTTTTTACGTGTGCTGCATGTGTGGAACAGTATTGATGTGACTGGGAACATGTGTGTGTCGTAGAGAGCGGGCGCGCGTGTGTGAGTGTGCGCTATCAATGCTCCCACTCTCCATTGCTTCAGACATGTATGACGCCCATCTTTTCAAATTCCTTTGAAGACAAAGTCATGAGTCGTATGCTTTTACTTTGAAGGGTATATGTGTACATGTGTGTTGTAAATAAATACTTTTCTTCAAATAACACAACTTAACTAGTCTCAGATTACATTATTACACAGATGCGGTGCCCGGCAAAAGTATTCCCACCCCACAAACAAACCGCAAACGCCAGCGTGATTTTCTGTTGCAGAGCCACGCAAAGTTTTACGTATCTGTGAAGATTAAGGAAATGATGCTTGTTTATTTTGTTGTTTCCCCCCCCCCAAAAAAAACCCAAACAAACAAAGTGGTTTGCATAACGTGTTCACTCCCACTAAACTCAATACTTTGCAGAACTAGACTTTCCTAATTTTCCATCGATTTTCCCCGTGCAGAGAAGCTCAAGTCGAGTCAGACATGATAGAATCACTGAACATCAATTTTCAAGTGTTGCCATGGATACTGAAATGGATTTGACTGGGCCATTAATCCCCTCAGCATGATGCTGCCACCACCATGACGCTCAGTGCTACTTTTCTGTCTCACATGAAGGTGTGTCCCCTATATGACTCGTGGCAAACTGCAACACGAGACTGTCATTTTTTTGAGAGGAAAAAAAATTATATATTATAATAATAATATATAATATATATTATAATGTCCTTTACTAAATAATAACTGATCCCCATGAAACTCCAACAAAAAAAAAAAAAAACAAAAAAAACACCATGCTAGTGTCGTGCTAGTGCGCGCGTGACAGCCGACTTTTCCTCCTATGGCGTGAAAAAAAAAAAAACAAAATAAAATATTGGAGATTAGTTCTCCCTCGTGCCTTGTTGCTCAGTTTGACTGCGGGATGAGAAGGGAGGAGCGCGAGCCGAAAGAGAGAGAGAGAGACTTTAGTCAGATTAAAACATTCGGGAGAGCAGCCCTTAAAAGTCACTATCTTATTTCTTTCCACCCCCTTTTTTTTTGTCTTTCTCTTTTGGTGAACAACAGAGAGCCTGTTTCATCCGCAACAATGCGCGCGCATAAATCAGCCTCCTCTGTCTCTCTCCTCCGAGCAACTATTGTGTTTGTACCGCTTTTATCGGGCTGAATGATATTTACACTGAGGAAGCTACAAGGTGGAGGAAAAAAAGAGAAAAAAAAACAAACAGGAGACACTTTGCAAACTTAAAAAAAAAACAACATAAAAGAATACGGCGACGTTTTAATTGCCTCGCGTCTCCGCAGCATGGCTGGCAGATCCGAGGCTGTGAAATGTGAATTCCTGAGCCTGTGGCGGCTGGGAGCGGTGGAGACGTGGAAGCAGAAAGCCCAGGCATGACTGCCCTCTTTAGGGAGGCCGGGTAACTGTCCGAGTGCGTGGAGGCAGCAGGGGGAAGCTTTGGAGACGGCGCAAAAAAAAGGAAAGAAAAAAAATGCAACCGCGTCTCCTTTTTACGCACGGATCTCCAAAGGCGCACAGATGCGCTGCGATCAGGATTTTTTTGTTGTTGTCGTTGCTGTTTAGAGCTAAAGAGCTGCACAATATTTACAAAAGCTAATAAAAAAGTTAGTTTTTTTATCACTGCCTTATAAGTACAACCAAGAGTTTTCTTTTTTTTTTTACTTTTTAATATAATTTGTTACTAGTGGAGAAACTGAATAATTTTAATTTTATCAGTATACGGATTTAAAAAAATTGAAATCAGGAAAATGAAATGATTAAGTCGTTTAAGCTTTGATCATAGAATCAACGCTTCATAAATCAATAACAAATCCAAACTTAAAATGTACCATGTGTGTTTAAAAAAACGTGAAAACATTTACGTTATTCGTCACCGTTTGCCCTCGGGAAATTATTATTTTTTTTTTCCACGCAGCTGACCTACATTCCAACTGTCTTCAACATTTTTTTTTTCTCTCCTTCAGTCTTTTGTCAACACAAAACACAGAACATTGCAGTTTTTGTCGCAGTGATTGCTGGGTTCGGCTGTCCTCGTTCAAACACGCGCTGACCGCGGAGTGAACCGTCAGGTGTAATGAGTGGCGCAGAAACGCGCTCCAGAGCGGCGGAGGTGACCGCGCAGGGCCTGCCTGTCTTCCTCCCCCACCAGGAGGAGGGAAACCCGGACCGAGGAGGCCGCGCGTTTCGAGGGAGACGGTTCAAATCTCGGCGAGCCTTCGAGCTTTCAGTTCCGGAATAAAAACAAAGCAGTGTTCAGTGTGTTCTGTGATTCTCCCCTTTAAGGCGGTGTGTGGCACTTTGTAGTTCAGGTCGGCAGGAAACGTGTTTTTCGGGCCTTGAGACGTGATCCTGGCTTTTGAAAACGTGAAGACGTCACTGCGTATTTCAAAGCAGGAAGGGACGTGAGAAAAACCGGGCGGCCACATAACATTTACAGTCTATCAAATGTATATGTTGAAATATATTTATTACAGCTTGGTGTGTACTATAAAGCCACATTAAATGCTTAAAAAAACATAAATAATAGCTAAATTCTCTTCAGTAATAACTGGGAGTGGGTCCACCGGTACGCTGTGTTTGCATGGTGAGGTGCACAAAGTGTTGAAAGTTCAGAATTGTCGCAAAGACTGTTAGCAACACGACACACTGAAATTAACTTTGGAGAATATAAAACGTCAGAAATGAGACGTATTTAAAATACATCCAAGTGTTTTTGGCTTGTCAAATACTGAAATATTAAGTAACCAATTCAACCTAAACACACTGAATATAACTCAACATGTTGCTTCGGTCAGCAGTAATATATTTAAAAGGGCCGCACTATAAATGTCATCAACAGATAACGACGTAAGTCTCGCTGAGTCGCAGCAGGAATTTAAGTTTGTAAAATGTTGCTAGTTTAGCTAACGTGGCTCGTTAGCTACGTTAGCTAACGAGGCGATGTTAGCCTCCAAAGGTGAAAATATCTAAGAGAAGATTTTTAATTTTTTTAACTATTTTAGTGGTATTTTATTATTTAACTGGTTAACGATGGAGCAAGTTTCCTAGCAAGCTAGACCTCAAAGCAGCTACTGCTAATTAGCAGCGTTAGTAGATATTAGGCCAAATGTTCTGACATCTTTCTTTTCATCCATTTTAAATGTCTACCCCTGTGACATTATACTTTACTCACCGCTCTTTCATTACCTTTTTGATTTTGTGAATTGACCCGACAATTTGTAAGGTTAGAAACATAAATGCGACCTGCTGTATCGACGATTTAAGTCCACTAAAAACAGAAAAGCAAAGGCCACACTCTTCTAATTCATTCATTTTGAGTAAAATGAAATCGAAAGTCTACTTGAATCCATCCAATTAAGTTAGGGTCCTTTTTGCATGTTTAAATATACACAATTTCTACTCAGGATTGTTGGTTAAAACTGACCTAAATTTAGGTAAAATTTATCTGAATTATTTACCAGATAATTCAGAAACAACTGGGTCACAAACATAGAGCTCAGATGGGTTTTTTCAACATTTTCCCACTTTATGAAATCAGTCTGAAGCAAAATCCAGATGAAAGGTCGGCCTGTGAACACCTCAGAGGACAGACTTTGTAGAACCTCCTCCCTGGAACGTCGCGTGGCAGCTGGTTCTGAAACAAAAGGAGGCACAAAAAAAAAAAAAAGCCTCCAACAATCTGTTGGTGGAGGAAAAAAAGAGAGCCGGGGAGCAAAAAGAATCGAGAAAGACTGTTGAGAACCATTTTGGATGTCATCTGTCTCCTTGGCGACAGGGCCCCGGCCCTCAAAAGCCCCTTGGGCGCGCGGATTGTTTGAGAGGAGCCCGCTATTTTCTGCAGCATCATTTATCACTGTCACCACATAATGATTCCCCTCGCAGCTCCTTATTGATGTTTGTAATTGCATTATCTCATAAGGGGAGGGGGGGATGATCAATGGAGCCGAGAGGAGCACAGAGGGGTCAGGAGATGCCGGATTGCTGTTTGTCCATTTAATGCAAGCAGGCTCTCATTATCTGCAGCCTCTCCAGCCTGTACCGCTCTCTTCTGAGGTTGTTGGGTTTTTTTTTCTGCAGTGATGAGAGGAAGAAGAGGATGGAAAAAAGGGAGGCAAACAGTTGGTTTGATTTGTTTAACCCCCGCACGTCACCGATAAACAATAGAAATGTCGAGAAAATCCAGGTGAAGGGAGGAATTACTGCTGTGAATGTGAGGAATCGAGCCTAAAGTAGCTTTTGGAGTTCACTTTGTCTGCTCCATATTCTGTGATAACTACGGACACGGCTGGCCAGGTTGAGAGTTTAGATGGACCACTCGCCGGCCCTGGCAAGCTGAGGATGGAGGAGGCTGACTCGCAAGTCGGACTCAGTTCTCTTTAAGCAGAACATGTTCGTTTGGTACGGAAACGTTCTGAGGTTCAAGACGCGCTAACCGAACAGCTGCTGAAGAAACCGGATGGCTACACTTAATGGTTCTCACCACAGTGTCGGTTGTCAACAGGCAAAATGAACTTTATGTTAATTAAAAAGGAAAAAATCAAAAAAAATTATTTGGAGTTAGTTTTTGCAAAAACATTTTTGATTTGACCAGCTTTCACTAAAGCCCGTACATGGAAGCATTTAGTTTTGCTTCATCCTCTCATGATTTCTGCTTTAAAAGAAACATTTTGGATCATTTAAAGTCCTGATATCCAGAGAGATTGTTAGATTGACGGTTTGTGTGAACTGACAGACTGATATTCACTCGGCAAGGCCTGTTTTGTGGCCATGAGGAGCTATGTGTCATTTGAATGAGTCACAGTATTTATTTTTCAACTATGTTAAAGTAAAACGCGTTAAGAAACGTTCATTTTTTCATTTGAGTTCGTTTTTCACCGTGAAAGCTAAAGCTATGTAGCAGTTAGCTTTATGTTGATTTCAGTTAGAAAAAAAACAAACATATTTTTCCCATTTCAACAGGTTGACAACATGGTTATGAAAGATTTTATCAAACCAAATATGTCAGAAACTCATAACATGGACGTTTATGTACACACACACACACACACACACACACACACACACACACACACACACACACACACACACACACACACACACACACACACACACACACACACACACACACATAGGCTATACATATATATACACACAT